CAGGACCTGGGATTCGCGGATTCGCCAATGTTGCACTCTTGCTGGAACCCCAGTGCTGGGGGGGCTGCCCGGGTCTTCTGCCTGCTTCGCACGCAGCGCCTGGCCGAGCTGGTACCGACAAACGTCTCCCAGTGGTCTGACACATCACTCGGATACTGAGGCCTGGTTCTCTCTCTCCGTTTCTTCCAGCCTTGTCGCTCATATTAAAGCACACTACACGTTCAGATTTCGCAGTGTCAACAGGACATGACCGAATCTGACTCAAGCGACTGCTCCCGCAGCAGCCGCAACTCCTCCTCCCGCATTGCCGTGTCTGGACTGGAGGTTGCCGTCGGTTGCAAACGCAAAGCCTCCATTTCCTGCAACACGATGTGTCAATGTCGTGCTCCGAAATAGATTCGGGCGGTTGGAGTCCCGCCTTCTGAAGATGCTCCAGCTCAGAGCGCAGGTGCGTCACTGTTGGGCGGCTCCCGCTGCGTGAGGCTGTTGGTACCGCTCGTTGCGGATCTTCGCATCCCTCAGCGAACTGTACCTAAGTCTCGGACAGAGGAACTTCCTGAGCCATACAGCAGGCACAGCACCCCGATCAGAGCCTAGCACACCGGATGCAAGCAAGTAACCGATGGTCCACCCCGCGAGGATGATCTCCCAAGCTCGGCCGCTGGTAAAGCGCCAGATGGTGAGAGACCTGGCTCCGAGAAGGAGCCTGCACCTTGCGCTTCTGGGACGGCGGCGACGGACATGGCTTGGCCTTGGCCCGCCGCCGCGGCTCCCAGCCCGGGCTCGGGCATTGCCACGAGTGGTGCAGGCTTCCCGCCTCCTGCTTGAGCAGCGGGCACCGACTCAGAGTGTGGCTCTGGCATGTCGGGTCTGGTAGATGCTGGCGCCTCTTTGGGCAAGCCTTGGTCGGACATGGGTGCTTGCATGCCCACTGCTTGTGTTGGCGGCGCAGCCACCGGCTCCGGCATTGCTGCTGGCATCGCTGGCATGCGCGGCATGCTGTCTTCGGTCACCGGCATCACTGGTGCAACCGAAGCAGAGCTGTGCGTCTCTGAACTCGGAGCTTCTGGAGGAGACTCAGACTTTCGGTCCGGCTGGGTGCCCAAACGAGGAGCAGCTGCTTGCGGCTGGGCAGGAGCTGCCGGGGGAACATCTGTGACCTGGGACCTGGAGGTGGATCTTTGTGGCGTTGGCCTCACATCATCAAGTAGAGACATTGACATCCTGCAGAGATGTCCCCACTGCTTCTGAGGCACCAGAGGCAATCGTCGGCCTGCTGCAAAAAAAGTCTACTCGAACAGGTTGTCTTGCACTTAAGTCCATAGTCCAGTTAACACCTCTGGGCACTGCAAGGTCTCGCCTCCGGCAACACCGGTGAATCCGGCCGCAGCGCAGATGGGGGAAGCGGCGGCATGAGAGGCCCCATGGACTTCCTCGTGCGAGCAGCAGCCGGTGGCACCTTGCGGCTGGGAGGCCAGTCACTTCGCAGCGTGTTTTTGCTTCTGCCTTTTGCGTCGCCGCAACCGGGCCGGGTCCAGCCGGTCCAGCAGCTGGCCTTCGGAGCGAGAGATCGAGCGAGAGTTGCGCAGAGGCTCTCCCATGGGGCGCCTTCCAGGCCCAGGGACGGGACCCGCAGGACCCATGCTCTGCACCGAGAATTGGTACTGGTAGCCCTCGTAGGCGACCGGGCCCGGAACGAAGCCCGGAAACCCCGGCGCTGCAGGGCCGCCCTTCGAATAGCCCTTGTTGGGCCAAGGCCCGGCTGGCACAGAAAACCCTTTGCCTGAGCCGCAGCGTGCATCGCAGCTGTGTGGTGAGGTCTCAAGTCCCATCTCCCCACCTGGGAAGGGGTCTGGGTACTGCGGGTACTGTCCGTAGCCCTTCAGCATGGCCTGGTCCGGTGTCGCACTCAGCCCGAGGCCCTAGGCGACCCAACGGGCCCTTCAAAGTCCATTTCCAGCCGCCTGCGGCTGAGCGCTGTGCGGGCTCGGAGTGCTCGGAGGAGCTTCTTTCTTCTTCGAAGAACCTGCGCCCATTCCTCTCTCCCTCGCATCCCCATCCGCAACTCCACACTCCAGAGGTTCTCGGCCCCTGCCTGGGAAAAGCTTCTTCACGAATGCCATTGCCACGAGAAGTATCACGAGGAGAGGTGAGTTACGGTTAGGTGGGCTTTTGAGATCTGCTGTCGTGTTGCATGCGCGGGTTTCAGAGCTGCAGCAAAAGCGGCCTGCTTGTTCTGTGTCAAGATTCAAGTGGCAGTGCAGGCTTCACGACGCGGTCACTTTCAGCCGAACGGCTCCCCATGCAGCCGACGTTCACGCCCCTGTTCTGACATCGAGGCTCAAAGCTTGAAGCATTTGGCCTGCGTCTGCCGAAGCCTCGCCAGAACACGAAGCAGTGGGAGCTAGCGGTGTGGCTTTCGGCTATCTGAAGCAGTCGTTTCAGGAGACGGCTGCTGTTTCAGCTGCCTTCTCCTTTGATCCGGGCAGGGCACTTCTCGAGATTACGGGGAAATACACTCTCACATAATAACCGCTCAGCCATGCAGCTCTTGCTCAAGCTGCTCGCGAGCTTGCCGCAGCTCCTGCACATGGATTCCTGGTCGCGACCTCGCAACCACTGTGCCTATGCGAAGCTTTCGCGTCTCTGCCTCCTGCTCCCTCCGAATCTGGTCCTGCTTCGTAGCGAGCTCGGCCTGTCAGCATTTCGCCTCCGCCTGCATCCGCTCTGCCTCCACCCGATCACAACAAGCGCCTCTGCCTTGTGTCGCTCGCTGGCGGCTGCCTTCCCCACACATGCCCAGCAAGCCGATAGAGCTGCAGCAGCCAAAGAGCAATGCCCCGCTGTCGAATGTCGAGCCACTATTCTGTCTTCCATCAGGGCGCGGCGATCCGCCTTGGAATATTTTGAGCGGCACAGAATCTGACAGGGCATGCATGTGGACTAAGGTTTGCAGTACTCCAGAAGTCAACTGCCTACTTGTAAAATCTGGGTCTTGGCTATGGCATTTCGATGTGGAAACCATTAGAAGCCCACGGCGGCGAAGCCGTAACCAACCAAAGCAGTACCAGTGCAAGTGAATCAAACACCCTGTCCTGCAAAGGCAAAGCATTTAAAAAACACGATACCAATCTTACAGATGTCCTTCACTGTCTCGGCAGCCAGGAAGACGACACTCTCAAGCCTCTCGAAAGCCTCGCGTAGGTCGTCACATCATGCTGCTGCAGGACACATCGATTTCACGGCCAATTGCGCTTCAGCACGAAAATTGCCTGATGCTTGACTTTCGACGGACAGAACTTGAACCGTGACGTCAACCTTGCCTCCATCGCTTGCTCCACGTGGTCTCTCAGTGCATACAAATGAACTTTTGCGGCTTTTCTGGCCTGGCCGGATCAGCCGACATGGTTTGAAATTCGCACAAGATTCACGTACACCTCACCTTGCCCAACGTGTCATCGTCCATACCATCAGCTATCTGCATCAAGGCTACATGCGACAGCAAGTAACGCGAGGTGTGCAAATCCTGTCCTCCTGGTGCCGGCCGTTTCCTGCAGCCCATTGATGTCAAGGATATCAGAATATATCAGATGACATCAGCTGCAGGCTGCCTTTGTGCAGATCCCCATTTGTCCCGGCTAGCATCATGCCTCCGGGTCCCGGCATGTCGACCTGCAGCCAGGCAGAATCAAAAACCGCAGCTGATCACGCAAGGCAAACCGCTCATGGTCCTTGTCTGCCCTATCCGGAGAATGCAAAGTCTTCATCAGCCACCTTCCGACAGTGACACGTAACGGTCTCCTCATAACAATGCAGCACTCACCATTCAATTCCCGCACCCAGCCTTGAAGGAGAGCTCCGCCAACACCCACACCCCGGCCGCACGCTTGTCGAAATTCAGGATCCGATGTGATTGTTGTCACAATGTCTAAAGCCACTGACATGGAAAGTTTACCAGTATACCTAGATATACCTAGCCAACTGGTGGCCACGCAAAAGTGGGTAAGCAAACTCAGTGGCTCCTCTTTTGACTCGATGGCCGGGTGGCTGTCTGCAGCAGCCAACAGTCGCGTCAAGGGCCACTAGCATCAGATTTCGGCACTCAGCTCGATGGCAAGCCCAGGCCCGGCAGCAAACCGTCACTTGGACTGTGCACTGGTACAGTCTAAAGTTGTCTGCCACGCCAGACGCGGCACCAGGTGGACGGACCCATTTCCTGGCTGAACCCTATCCCAAAGACCACTCCAAGATGATTCTGCCCACACCCAGGCAGCTGCCTCACTCACGCGGTCATGCGCAGTCACCACGCTGGCACCTCAAACGAAGACAGGACACCAAACAAGCAACCTGACTGGCAGGGGCTGCAGGGAAGAGTCAGCCCAAAAGCGTCCACATGTTCGACTCAGCGCATCTCCCAGGCTACAAATAAGTCGAAAATAAGTATTCACCTGATACAACCCTGCAGTTCCGGCAATTGTCCAGAATCAGGCACGTGGCCCACGGCCCGATCCACAAAACCCCCTCTGATTCACCGCTTCAGGCCTATCACCCAACACAAAGCACGGGGCCCGGCGCGGACAAAGTCTGGGAGTTCATCTTCCCGCACTGAAGGCTGGCCTCACATTCGAGGCTCGGCCTGGGTGGAGCACACGGACATTTGTCCGACGCCTCTTCTGAAGAGGATGAGGCGTAAGTTGGGCTCCGCGCGCCTCGCTCTCCGCCAGCATGGAGTCAGCTAGGCCTTGCGCAATCCGGTCGACTTGCAGAGCACATGTACTAGGCGGGTGGTCCATCCTACAACTGTGCAAAGGCGCTTCATATGTGGCACTCCATGCGCCTGCACTCTCAGCAACTTTCGCGAACGCTGCGTTTTCGTCGAAGGACGAGCAGTCAGCTTACGGGCTGGAAAGAAGACTTGCTGCGTTGCATTGCAGGCAAGGGTGCAAACCCGTTGCCAATTGCCCTGAAACAGCTGCAAGCTAATGCCTGCCATAGTGCCCTCAAGTCAAAGACACGTCCAGGTGTTTGCCGGCCGGCTCGCTAGCCTGGTTTCCCACTCCCACTTTCACGATGTGAAAGCGTTCCTGATTCCAATGATGTGGAAGGTCCTGGATCGGCTTGGGAGAGCTGGCATCTGCGTGATGGGCTGTCATGCGAATGAAGCAGTTGTGGTGCGAGTTGTGCAAGGCAATAACCCCGTCGAACAAATCACTTCCAGGCACGACCGTGAACGATTCCCATCCGTGCCTCTCATGATGGGTTCCCAGCTGCTTGTGGCAGCCCTTCATCGATACATACCGCCTGTGGTGTTCGTTGTAGAGGCCGATCTGGCCGTTCCCGGCATCGACAACCTTGAAATGCTGCCAACTCCACCAGTTGGGCAAGTCTGCCACGCCTTTCACTGGGCTGCGGTACATCCAGTGGTTATCTCTCATCTCCAGGAACCGGTTGTGGACTGCACTGTGCAGGCCCACGACGGTCCCCGGCTCCAGGTATGGCTTGACATGCACGACGCGGAATCGCTCCCATGCCCAGCCGCGCGTGTCAAACCCAGCAGGGGGATGGCCACTCTCGCCCATGTGGCCACCACCCATTTGGACGAAGCGGTTGACAGAAGGGTTCCAGAGCATCATCTCTCCGTCAACAGCCGGCCAGACTTCGAAGGCCTCCATGCCCCAGCCTTGGGGAAATTGATCCGGATTCTGGTGCGGGCTCGCTCCATTAATCTTGATGAAGCGATTATGTCTAGCGTTGTGCAGTGCAATCTCTCGACCGTTCTTCTGGATGACGGTGAAGCGCTCGTGGGTCCATTCTTCGGGCATGTCACCACCTTCTCTGTAACCGCCGGGTTCCAGATGGTCCTTTCTCATGGCAATGAATTTTCGGTGGTGGGTGTTGTAGAGAGCCACTGTTGATCCAGGGACCAGCTTCACCTCAGCGGCCACGACCGTGAAGCGTTCCCACGTGTAGTGTGCGGGCAGATGATCAATAGGGTGGGTGAAGCCGGCCCCACCGCCATTGTCGACCTTGAGGAAGACCTTCGACGAGCCCTGCAATGCAATCTGTCCGTTTCCGGCATCCACCACATTCCACTTCTCTCCGCCCCAATTGTGAGGAAGCTCGTTCCAATTTTTGTGAGGACTTACTCCACCTGCATGGCAAGCCCATTGAATTCGCTTTAGGTGCAAAGGGCAAAACGGTAAGGGCTCAGGCTTCAACACGAGACAACTCTTGCACATGTATGTGGACAGCTCCTAGGTACATGGCTGACGCGCTCGTTGCCAGGTATATGTGCGCTTACAGCAGCATGCTTGGCATAACCCAGCTGCAGCTAGCCGACACACACACACACATGGAAGAGGAAAGCGGTAGTCTTCACTGCCTGCTCTGAGGATTAACTGAAAACCAAAACCAAAAGCCGCCCAGGCGCTGCCGAATGACTTGAGGAACCTGTTGTGGAGCGCATTGTGCAACGCGATCTGGCCGTTCCCTGCATCTACCACGGTAAAGCGCTGGTGAGTCCACCAATCCTTGATCCCATCGGGACGCTCCCCCGGGCTGCCGTAAATGTTATCCCCACCCATGGAGAGGTAGCGGTTGTTGTGCGTGCAGTGCAGGGCAATGACGGAGCCTGGCCTCAGCGGAAGTCCCTTGACTCGCCCGGCGTCCTCTGTCGAGAAGTCTCGCAAGGCAGCGATCGCCGTCTTCTTGGTTTCCACCGAGATCCAGGGGACCGCTGCAAGGATAACAGCAAACTGGACCCCGATGTCGGCCAAAGGGATTCTCCGACTTGGGCTCTGGTAAGGCCCGAAACCCATCTGGAGGCCCAACTCAAGGCTTTTGCCATTGAGAAGGCCTTGGATGTGGAAGTTCGTCATTCCCGGCTTCTTGAAGTTGAAGAGCTGAATGATGTCCTCCTTGCCCTGCGCCTGAGCCTCCTGCATTGCACTCAAGTGCCGTGCTGCATCCGCCCCGCGCATCTCCCAGGTCGTGTTCACCTCCATGGAATCATCATAGTCGACGGATGCCAAGTAGAGGTCCTCCGTCTCGGTCTTCCAATACCAGGACTCTGTCTCGAGCTTCTCGCCCTCTCCGCCTTCAACCTGGCTTCGATTGCCCTCCAACAGCGACATAGGTGCGAATGCAGGTCTGCTCTCGCCTTTGGCGATGCCAAGCGGTGATCTCCAGGTCTGGAAGCCAGTGCCGAGGTTCTTCTTCACGAAATGCGTGTCAGAGCCGAAACGCTTTGCAAGCCGCAGCGTTCGGCTGAACAGCAGGTGATCGCCGGTTTTCAGCTCAGAACGCAGGACGGACAAGTCCAGACCACCCGGCATCTGGTTCGGCCAACACACGGTGGTGATCAAGTCGAAGAGGGTCGGCAAAAACTTGATGGACAAGCCGGCGACGAAGGCGACCACAGGCTGGATGTCTATCTTGAACGTGACTGACAGGCACTTCTCGACGGCGGCCGTTCCCGTGTAGAAGGAGTAGCCTTGCCATTTGTTCCAGTTGTCCTGACATGGTCACGACTTCCCTCACAGACAGATGCACCCACTCTCTCATGGCTTCACCCGCTAGCTCACTCACCCACTCTCGCACTCACCCATACTCTGACTCACTCACGCACTGACTCACCCCTCCCGCCCGCCCCACTCACGGCAAGTTGACTTGCTGCGTGATGAGTGCAGTTTTGGTTGCACTTGCACAAAGCCTGTATTCGGTTCCGCATAATCACGTACCTCTGCCTTGCCGTTCCCCCTGCAACAAGTGAAGCAGCACATGGCAGCTGCGCTTGTCTGCGGAAATCGCTGGATTGATGCTTCTATCATTGGCCAACATGCACGCGTGATCAAACTCCCGCGCTCCTTCATCCAAGTGTTGTCGCAGGGCACCGCCCAAGGCTCCAGCTGGACGAAGTCATCCTTCGTTGCCGCCGTCCAGTCGCCTTTCGTCGCCTCCTGGTGATTCCCTACCTGAGCTCCGTTCTTATTCCGGGGAGCGAAAGCCAGACAGGAGCCCGAATTGGCCTCCCTGCCATTGAACTGCGTGATCAGGTTCGTGACCTGGACGTCATCACCTTTCTTCAACTTGATCCCGGGGCCGTCCGAGTAAAGGGCGTCATTCGAAGAGAACTCCAACAGTGAGGGGTGTAGCTCTTGCGAGTGTGCCTCAACGATCAGATCGCCCTGCTGGTGGCGCACAGGCATCTTTCCGACTGCAGGGAAGTCCGAGATGGCGGCCTGGCAGGAAGCTCAATTTGCAAAAGGGGCAGGAACCATATAATATGAAAGCGCTACGAAAGCACTACGCCGCCCAGGCCGTGGCCTTCTGGATGAGAGACGTGCCACCTTTCAAGGCCTTCTTCAGCAAGGCCGTGGCAGCCTTGGCAAAGGCCTCGATGGTCTCGGCCATGACTTCACCCAGGCGGTTCAAGTAGCTCAGAGGCGGCACCAGGTTGACGATCTTGGAGCCAAGGCGTTTCGTCAGCTCCGTGCCGGACTCAAAGTGCTGGCAATGCATCAGGTCCTTGCCCATGGCCATCAAACTCTTGATGGAGTTGAGTGGCGAGTCTGCAAGAACACCGACGGGACTGGGCAGCCACTTCAGCGGCGGCTCAAACTGCATGACGAAGGACGAAATGCGCTTGGCAATGCAGTGGAAGGTGTCGGCTCTGTTGCAGCCGCCGGTGTGGAGGATATCGTGCATGAAACTGAACACCCTTCCGACGTTCTCCCCGCTTGCTCTAGCAACGGTCTTTATCTGCTCGGGCAGATAGTGCAACGGATCGGGCAATTTGAAATTTCTATGTACCGTGGGGATGTCGAAGAGGGTGATTGTCGTGCCAACAAGTGTCGCAGTACATTTCAGCTTGCCAAAATTGATGTCAAGATATTGGCCGTTCAGTCCGGCACTTGGAAGCCTGTTGTCGCAGCTGGAGTCGAACTCGAAGCCCATGAAGTTCGACAGAATGGTGTATGCCATATCGACGGTGTCGATCACCGTGTTCTGGATGAACTCAACTGCCTTGCCCCTTTTTTTCACCTCCGCTTTGTTGACCGTTCTCTTGAACTCGTCAAGTGGATTCCACTTGCTGGAAAGGCTCTCATCCAAGAAATTCTCCGAATCCTCTTCCTTCTCAGAGCTCCGGGCCTGGAGGCAGGTCACAAGGCTTGCAAGGCGCCTCCTACGGCTTGTTACCGCCTTCGTGCCACCGTCTAACATGTAATATCCAGTATAGCATCAGGATTCTGGTGAAGTCTCCAAGTATGATTGCCCGCAAAGCACGACCAAAACCAGAATAAGCATGGTGCAAGGATAAAGAAGGTGCTTAAATTACGCTTACGCTTGATCACGTGCCACTCCCTGCCTGGCGTTGGAGCAAGGCCTCTGCTTGGCTTTCGGGCCGTGGCGGAACCGAGCCATCCTCGGCCACGGGCTCCTGGCCGTACATCGTTTGGTCGTTTGGAGCAGGAAACCCCCTCACTCCGAATTCAGGTCACTTCACGTCTATCACGTCTATGCTCCGAAGCGGAGATTTGCTCTCGAGCTCTCGGACTCCTTGTGGGCACCGGGACGGAAGTCGCGAGTCTCACGCTGGTGGTGGTGCTTGTCCAGAACCGCTTTCAGGACGTGACTTGCTGCGTGGGGATCTCGAGAATGTTTCCGTGCCATCTCGACATGCTGCACGTCCAAGCCTGGGTCTCTCATGGTCGTTACGAACTCATTGGTGTCATGCATACAGAATTGCAGTTGAGTCAAGTAACCCACATGCTCTTTGAGGGCATCGATTTCGGCCTGCTGGGCGGCGATCTCGGCTTGCTGCAATTGGACCACGGTCTCCACTTGCGCCATCTGCGGCAGGAAGGTTGAGGCCCGGGCCGTCAGCTATTGTTGGGAAACACCCCGATTCAGGCCAACAATAGAGGAAGGCATCCACGGTCCACTACACGCAGTGCTGTGAGGCAGGGAAGGGAAGACCGAAGTGGAGCCTCTGGGAACGATGAGCCTCTCTCAAAAGGCCTGATCCGACCTCCACAAGATTTCACACAATTGCATTTGCATCAATAAACACAACTTCAATCATCTGCTCCACTTAGCTTGTTAATGTGTGCAAACTTGTAACTTTGCGGTCTTGAGTATAGAGGCCTTTCAACACAAAGAGCCGTGGAAGGGACCGATTCCCCATGCGAGGCACACTCGGAATCAACACCCACCGGCCTTGACCATCATGAACTCCAGGTGCTTGGCCAAATCTTTGAAAGAACTGGTGGAATTGTCTGCCTCGCCCAGGTCTTCAAGCTTTTAGCAGCTGCATGTTTCATGCAACTATAGAATTGCTGCGGGCCTGCTCCGGATCGGGAACTTTGCTGTCTTCCTTCACGTCATGCACCAAGTTCTTCTCCCACAATTTGGCCACCTAGCAGGCAACCGCTCCGGACGAAGGCGTTGACTTCGGAGTGTCACAGGGACCGGCCTTCTCAGCGTCTGTCGGGTTGTCTGAATTGGTGAGGTTGATGGGCGTCTCGGACAACTTGTAAGACTGCACCCCCGGACATCCGGAAAGCCATCCCAGTGGCCCGACGACCCAAGCGATCACCAGAAAACGGCTCACCTGGCGAGTCCACTGAAAGAACGTATATAGTTACTCTTCATCTCCATTAGGATAGTCTACACTACGTTTTTCTTTCTGAAGACTCGGCCCTTGCAAGGCTGACTTTCGGTGCCATCCCAGTCGCCTGCATCATGCTGAGGCTCGCCGCGGGAAAGTTTTGCTTCATTTAAAGGTTTAAAGACTTTATGGATTGGGAAAAGGCTGCAGATCGCAAACTCTCTCCTCGGTGCCTTCGCTAGATCTGCAAAGGAAACAGTGTTGGCAGACAGGACAGGCACGGGTGAACCGGATGGTCGGAACTAGGACTTTATGCCTGAAGACCTGTGAGGACACCGGCGTTCCGGTACCCCCAGCAATGACGCTAGGTCCCGACAACTCTCCGGGCTCCCGACTGGGGAAGTGACGGTGTCAAGCCAATGTCTCCTCATTGAAGGCACCTCCGCACATGCTGGACAGGTGCTTCCCCTGCCACAGCGTCAAGAATGGGTGCAGCCCTCGTCCGAGCTCTTGAGCTTCCTACAGTCGGATTCGGGCCCACCGGGCTACCCTGAAAGTCAATTCACCGTGTTCGGAGGCCTCCAGTCTTCTCGGAAAGAGTCTCCGGTCAAGTCCTGATGCAGATGTATGGGCAATGAATGATCTATGAAAGGTGAAACTACTCGGTGTGGCTGGAAATCGTGACTGCGCAGTCGGCAAGGACGGGGGTGTCCCGGTAGCACGGTGCTGCCGCCGCACGTGAACGGGTAATCCCCGTACGTTGATGCCCCAAACCCGGTCTCAGGTCTGGAAGCAAACGCAGCGACAGACAGAAGACATACAAGTCACGGTTATCTGTTTGCCAGCTCGGGCCTGTGGAACGGGTCCGAAGCTGGAGCTGCTGCTGTTGCTGCTGTTTCGCGTTCACCTCGCGGGCAAGGCTTCAGCTTTTAGGTTGGGAAGTGAGGTTGTCAAGCTTTTTTAAGGCTGCCATGCGCTCCCGACTGTACATTGTAGAAAGCGGAGTAATTCTGGCTGGCGCGTCGGCGCAGCTACCAGGTGCGATTTGAAGGCCCCGTTCTGTTGGGTTGTCAAGCTTAGGGTGGAGAGCTTAAGACTGACTTGGGCTGGGGGGGGTCCTAAGGTTTTTCCAAGCCAGGCCAGACTGGGTCGTGGGCCGCGGGCGGCATCACTCGCTGAACCCTTCCAAAGAAGTCCGCTCCACGGTTTCGCCGGGGCCTCGCGCACATAGTCACCGGTGGCCCGTGGTCACCACGGCATAGACTGGTCAGGCTCTTCCTTGCTGCCTGCAGAGCCGTGGGAATCGTTGGACACGCAGAAGTACGAAAGCTTGGCTCATGAGCAATTCGTCGAGGTGCAAACATCTTTTCGCTCAACATTCCATGGCCCTATTTCTCACCAATCTCGGCCTTCACATTGGGAGCCTTCGCCGCAAGCGTTCACTCCGGATTTATGTTGTTGCATGTCTTCCTGCGCCCCACAGGGCAATGCGCATCCACCTGACAATCTGCCCCGAGACCACAGCCTCCAGCCAGTGGCTGCGTTTTTGGTCTGCCCGAAGATGGGGCCGAACTTCACCCCCCTAAGAGAAAAACGAGAGTGCTTGCAACGTTTAGCGTTTCCCGTAACGGTTACTCACGAAAGTTTGCTAAGAAACTGGATCAAAAGTACTTTCCGAAATTTTCCCGATTGCCATGTCAAGATGAGATTGTGCAATGGAGATCAGCTGGAATTGCAATATCGACCGCTGCTTTGAGTGCTCCAACATGCGGCAATTTTTTTGTCCCGCCCGCCCAGCCCTGTGTGCGCTGCGGATGCCAACTGTTTCCCGCATCTTAGCAGAAAACTTTTCGGACAATGTTTTCCAAATGCGGATTGCAACTTGCAGGGGGTGGTGCTTTGCTCCTTGACATTCTTGTTAAGCTTTGGAGCTCCGCATGCCGTAAGCCGTGCAACTGTTGCAGCCTGCTCCTTGCTGCATGGTGTGTTGCACAGGTGCTGCAGCATGGATACGGATACAGTTGCACTGAATCTCCATGCCAGCGATGGAGTAAAACATTCGTGCAAGTCATCTTGTGCAAGAGCATTGTATTTGACACAGTGTTCTTGTGCAGTTGGATTTTTGAAGTTGTGACAGACACGCATACACTTAGAAAAGTGGTTTCTGCACTCGCGGACAGATGTACCTGAAGTACATACGCTAGCTGTTAGTGCACAGGAGACTCCGTTGCGGCGTGTAATCAATCATAGGGTCGAGCCATCATGAATGTCAGATTGCGGCAA